ATATATATATATACACATATATATATATATACACATATATATATATATACACATATATATATATATATATATATATATATATATATATATATATATATATATAATAGTTATGAAGTGATATATACCAAAATATAATAAGCAAAAAGATTCTGTATCAAGTCACACGTGTCATCACTCACGTGATTGACTTGCTATGCACCTATGACTAGCATCCATTTCATTTACTAACATAATACTAATCAAAAACGAAAATGAACATACTTAGAAGCATCAACTAAATAGAAGAGGAACCGATGGATAAATTTTGGTGAGGTAATACGCGTTAAACATCCAACAAGTTCAAGCGGCACGAGACGTTTAAAAGACTAGCGTATAACAATAAAAGTTTTTTCCTTCATCTGAAGGATATGTAGGAACCAACAAAGATCAACACAACTCGATTGACTCCGTACCAAAGTTAGAGTTATTGATGAGTTGAAATAGCATAGTAGATCAAAGTTCGACTACTCAACAATAACGACAGAGAACGGTTATGAGCTAAGAGGCACGTTACAACTAGAGCAGAAGATTGAAGATTCAGCGAAAATTAAGAGATGCAACGTCCGTAAAAACTTCGACGAGGATATAGAACGAATAAGTGAGGGAAAATATCACGAACAAAGTTGTAAATAAGGCGTTCAATATATATCTATGTCTTTTGATTTTATTCATATTTGCATAACATATAAAGGGTTTGCAGTAGGCTTGACAACTTCATTTTAATTAATTTTTATTATTATTTTAGGCTTATAAATGTAGATTGTGTATAGTCGTTACACAAAGACAAAACAAATCATCTAAACGATCATTTTAAAGGTTTTTGAGCTCCACAAAATGATATAGAGAGTTATACAGCACAACACCCAAGAGTTACCTGGGTGACACATGATTAGATCGACGAGGTAATATCTAGGACTAACTTTTTATCTTGTTCCAATAATGTGAACACTTATGAAAATTTTTAATCGTAACAATTCATCTTAAACCATTTATCGCATGATCATTCAGAGCTTACGAAGTCCATATTTATAATTTACATACTTATCGATCTCGAATTAAACATTTCATTTAACATATCTTCTCTTTTATAAATTTTTAAAATATTATAAAAAATTTTAAAAAAATTTATTCTTTACAAAAATCTTTTATAAATTTTTAAGATATTATAAAAAATTTTAAAAAAATTTATTCTTTACGAACATACACGTCAACTTAGATAAAACCAACTAAATTCATAACATATATATATATATATATATATATATATATATATATATATATATATATATATATATATATATATATATATATATATATATATGACTTGGGCTCGTACAAGACTACGGTCATTGAGCCCGACAAAATCCCACAAAACGCAATAAGATAATGATTATCCATTAGATAGTCGGCGTTAGAAGAGCACACAACAAAACACGAGAGAGTGCTGCTGCCCATGCGATCCCAAAATCGCCCTACCCCTCAGTACACCACCCACGCTACTGCTGCTCGTGGCGGTCCGCCGCCATGTAGTTGGACACCGCCTTCGTGCCCTCGGAGATCGCGCGCTTGCCGAGCTCCCCCGGCAGCACCAGCCGCACCGCCCCCTGGATCTCCCTCGACGACAGCGTCGCCTTCCCCGTGTACGTCGACAGCCTCGACGCCTCGCCCGCCAGCCTCTCGAACATGTCGCCCATCATGCCATCGAGCACCACCATCGCCCGCGACGATATCCCCATCCCCGGGTGCACATGCTTCAGCACCCGGAAAACGTACCTCTTGTACCCACGTCCCGTGCCGTCCATTTCCCCGCCATCCCCGCCGCTGAACCGCTTCTTCCTCCTCCTCCTCCGCCCTACCGCTCGCCCTTGCTTGTTCCTCCCCTTCTCCGCTTCCATTCCTTCTCCCCCATCCTTTGGTTCCTCCATGTCTCTTTGCGGGGTCTGCTCCACCTTCTTGGGAGTTCGAGGCACCGCTTCCTTGTCCTTGACCTTGTCGACCGCCGCCGCCTCTTCCTGCGTTTCCTTGTCAGTGATGGACTCTGCTTCCTTTCCCTCGCCTGCCGTCTCTTCCTGTTGTATTATGCTCTTCTCGAAGGGTGGTTCCGCTTCCTTCTCTCTGCTGGGCTCTTCCTCCTCTGCTTGCTGCCTTCCTTCGGGCTCCGCTTCCTTTCCTTCGCCTAGGTCCTCCTTGGGACCCTGAGCATCCTTGGCCTCGACCACGACCTCCACGAGCTTGGAGTCCCCAGGCAGGACCTCGACGCCATTCTGGCTGTCTCCACCGATGGAGACGACCTCGACGGTCTCCTCGATCACCGTCTTAGTCGTCTTCAGAACCCTCGAGGTGCGCTTCGGAGCCATTTCCTATTTCGCCCTCCTTGCTTCCGTGAGGCGTATAAGAAGGCCAGCCAGAGTAACAACACGAGATAGATAGAGGAGTTGGCGGGTTGGAGGATGACCTCTGTAGCTGACACGCGCGCGGACACGTGTGGCGACCGAGAGAAAAACGAGTCACGTGGGTCGTTCCGGTACCTTCTCCAAGCGCCTGTTTGAAGGGTTGGGTGCAACAGTCCAATCTCGGCTGCCGGAGCATTAGATGGTACCTCATCAACGATGTTTATCACATCATAATGAGTCAAAATTTTCACCATGAGACAACACAGCAACCCACCGATGGGGGTGTAAGAAATTAAAGCATATATATATATATATATATATATATATATATATATATATATATATATATATATATATATATATATATATATATCCTTTTTTGACTTCTCTCGAAAAGGGTTTTACCATTTTTACAATTTTTTAATAATTTCTTTTACCTAGTATCTAAAATACTTCCATCATATGTCCTTTTACCTCCCTTTTCTTATAAATCCGTCCAGTTATTTTACATTACGTAGTGTTGCGTTATAGTGTTTTCAATATATTAAAATAACACTATAATACAGTACAGAAATTATAATGTTATAAAAACATTATACAATACTACAAGACCTTTATGTTATTGTTAAAAACAATATAATATAATGTAAAAAAATTCTAAATATAAATTTTAAAAAAAATAAAATAATATTTTTTATATTATAATATCTTTTAATATTATTAAAAAATATTATAATATAATATAAATATATTATAATTGGACTGAGTTATCAACATCAGTGCATCGGAAAAGGGAGGAAAAAAGGTCGTTAATAAAAAAATATTATTAAAGAATTCTGAAAATTGAGGGTACTTCCAAATAAAAGACCCTTCTAACTTTTGCTTTTTCTTACTAATGCTAGTTCGCATGAACTCAACGAACTATATATATTTTTTCTAAATAAAGAAAAAAATAAAGAGGATGGCCAAACCATATTTAATTATCTAAAGAATGATGGAATTGACGTCAAATGCCAGAATAATTTTCCATTATCGAGCTTTGCCATAAAAACTAATCATTCGCTATAATATCTTTTTGTTGAAAATTGAATATTGAACAACGATATAAAATTGGACATTAATATAATAAAAAATATTATAATTCAGCTGATAATGCTTTGTCACTGCCAATTCACCACTATAACATAAGAAATCTAAGAAGAAGATACAAACAATTAAAAATGAAACAGAATTTAAATATGATGTCAATCATCATTCAGAAGATCATATTCTGATTAGCTCCCTTAGTTCATTATTTGCTAAACTAAAGGATAACATAAAAAATAACATAAACATTGTCAGTTGTTGCATGCCCATCTGACATCATTAAACAAGGTTTAAAAACTACATTACTTTTGTAAAACAAAATAAAATAAAATTTCAACAAAGCGAAAAAAAGGAAGAGTATTGTTAAGAAGGTAAAAACAATCTCCTCTTAAACTAGAAAATATGAAGTTCTAGTGATTCTTACTCATCTGAAGCAAATACTCTGGTAATCCACAAAAGATCTAAATCACATCTAATTACAGGCTTATGAGTCAACTGTAGTGTATAAAACATCTAATTGCAAGCAAAGAGAAAAGTGGGTTTCTATCCAATCATGCATAATTTTGACCGAATCTTATACAAGTATACTTAGGAGCAGAATGACCTGAATCGTAATAAATTTAAGAGTCCAATGTGTGGATATGTAAAGCAGCTAAGAGTTCCAGTACTTCATGGGAGATGACAAAGCTATTTCTGTAGCCATAGTGATGAAAAACGCAAGTCACTAGAATTTAACTTTCACCTTCAATGAATAGTATTACTAAAGCTAATCTGGCATCAAAGCTAAATGCAAAAAACATTGAGCTAGAAAGGAAATGCCAGTTTTGCCTAAGGCTTGTTTCCTTGAAATATTTCATGAACAGATCATGGAGATACAGAGAGAGCAAGCAAAGAATCCGAATTGGTGTTTAACAGTCAAATAACAAGAACTCTCAATCACACAACTCAAGTTGCAGGCGTACATAAGGCTGTGACGCATGTGACACATGCCATGAATGAACCCCAGATCCCTTGTCCGGCGACCATCCAAAGGTTATCAAGTTGTCTAGACTTGTAGTGCCAATAAAGTGTTTGTGTTTTGGTCTACTTATGTGATCTCGATATTCATGCTTGATAGAACGACATTTGTTCATCACTAACCCAATTTCTTTCTGTGCAGGTCCTTATTGGGCTATAAGAGGTTATTGGAACGGCTGATCCTTTGCAATCACCTATGCTGCAAGCGTGCCGCATAGCCTAAGTCGATCTAAATTGCTCAAAAACATTGGTTTTATTGAAGGGTGTATGTTAAGGCATTTTTATCATGTCAAAACCATTCAACATACTTCCAGATAATGCATTCAAGATCTATTGATAGTAATAAGAGGAAGCATGCCTACTAATCACACAAATGAAAGTGCCTGATGTTCCATGGGAGTTTATACAAGATTGAAATTTACCAGATGGTGAAGTGACTACAAAAACAAGCCATCCCTGAAGTGGATGATTAAGTTACTACATGCAAGTGGTTCGTCCTATTAATGCATCCTAATCAGAAGCACACGAGTTTTATCATTCTGCGTGTGATAAGAACTCAATGAATCTGCACTGAAAGAAAGCTGTGATCTTGATGCAGAACATTTTAGATAATGAGATCTAATGTACTTTGAGACACAACAAATCAAGCAAAAATTGCAAAACTCTTAGAGATCTCAACAAAAGTTGAACAAAAAAATGTGATCTTGATGACTACAAAAACAAGCCATCACTAAAGTGGATGATTAAGTTACTACATGCAAGTGGTTCATCCTATTAATGCATCCTAATCAGAAGCACGCAAGAGCTTTATGATTCTGTGTGTGATAAGAACTCGATGAATCTTCATTGAAAGAAAGCTGTGATTTTGATGCAGAACATTTTGATTATGAGATCTAATGTACTTTGGGACTAACAACAAATCAAGCAAAATTGCAAAACTCTTCAAGATCTCAACAAAATTTGAACAAAAAAATGTGATCTTGATGCACAACATTTTGGAGACAAACTAAAGCTAACCAGTACCAAAGGCATGGCATAACCTAACATACGATGAGATGTAACGTACCTTGAGCTTACAAATTTGAATCAGCTAACATGGGAACACATCATCTGATCCCGCAAACCATTCAGGAAGTTGAGCGACAAGTATTGCCCCCATCCTTGCAATCACCGGTGAGATCATTGAAGGTCTCCAGCTGCTTCTTAGCCCTCAAGAACACCTCCGTGTCAACCTCCCCCCTCATGTAGCCGTCGAACTCCACCGGAATCCCATTGTTGAGCTTCTTTGTCTCGTCATACCACTCGCTGTTCTTGTCCCACAAGTCTTTGAAATCGTCCAGAAAATGAGTAGTATACTTCTCCTTCAGGGGATCAAAGAAGGAGGTATCAGACTCCTCGGTGGCGATGTACAGGTGCCTTCGATCCTCGATCTTGTCCCTGAGGGTCGACAGCAAGGCCTCCGGCGAGGTGTCCGCGGCCAAGTTAGGCCAGAGCTTGGTGTTCCTCGCCTTCTCCCCCCTCACGACGTGGACTGAATCGAAATCCCAGTTCAATCTTGAGGCAATGCCAGAGACTATATCCATCAAGCGGCGGGATTTCCAGAGGAGGTGCCACGGCCGCTGGATCACCGACTCCGTCTCCCCCTCGCAGACCCTGTACCAGTAGTTGTCCGGCTCCACGGCCCCGAACTTGCGCATGATCAGAGTGTCCTTCACCATGGTGAGCTTCATCGGCGTGACACGGAAGTCCTCGACGAGGTGGAGGCTGAGCCTGTCCTTCTTCTGCCACAAGGCCCAATCGTTCCAGAATTGGCGCTGGTCGAGCACGGAGGCGGAGTCCCTCAAGTGCTCGAAATCGAAGTAGAATCTGAAGTCCTTCCCCTCCTCGTCCTGGTTCGTGGTCGAATACTTGGAGGAGAGGCAAACGGTGAGATCCATGACGAGGGTCCGATTCAGGTACTGGGCTTCACCGAGGGCGCAGAGGAAGCTCCACAGGTAATGGTTCATGCTCTTGCACCGGTCGCCACCGCCAGAGTAGATCAGGTACCTGCTACTGCTGAACTTGCTCTCGGACTCGACCACAGGAAGGGTGTCGTTCACGGCCTCGCCGACCACGGGAACGACTAGCACGTCCGAGGCCCGAGATGAGGAGGAGGGGGTCTTCTTCGACACAAATTCGCCAGTGGCGTCGTGGTCGCCCTTCCGCTGCTTCTTCTTCTTGCGGGCATTCACGCCGGTGTGGTAGTCGCCGATCTTGACGATGGAATAGGTGCAGCTGGGGGACCGTGCGATCTCGAACCGGCGGTAGTCCTTGTAGAAGCCGGCCCGCTTGGCGTCCTTGGGGTGGAACCGCCAGGCCATGTCGCAGGAACCGCCACCGTCGCCGCCGCGCACCGGCTTGCCGAAGCGATAGAAGTGGACGTCGCGGAAAGACTCGATGGTGGCGCGCATCATCAGGTGGAAGACATCCGGATCGGCGCAGTTGATGGGGGCGGCGGCGTCGCAGTCAGTACCGCCAGATGCGGCGGAGGAAGAACTGTTGGAGTTGGGGAGATCGGCAAGGTGGATGACGGCGGCATCATCGGGGGAGGCGGAGGAGGTGGAGGAGTTGAGGAAGTCCTCGCCGGTGCGGAGGGGGGCGTCGTCGGGACGGAAGGTGGCGTTGGTAGATGAGGTGAGGAATGCGGTGAGCTTGGCGGAGGAGGCAGAAGAGGAGGGGGGAAGGAGGAGGGGATCGTCCGCGCGGTAGGTGGCGGCGATGATAGTGAAGGCGAGGACGCCGACGACGAAGAGGGCGAAGCAGAGGTTGCCGACGACGAAGAGGGCGGTCTGGCCCAGCGTCTCGGCCCGGAAGCTTCCAGTCCGGTTCAGGAGGAGAGACCGGCTGTTGTCATGCATCCTGGACCGGCCACGGACTCAGAGGAATGAGTAGGTGACGACGAGGAATGGGATGGCAGAGGGGAGAAGAGTGATGGGGATTGGAGGAAAGAGTCGACCATCAGAGAAGAGAGAACGAAGCGGAAACGGATCTAGTTGGTTAGTAGTGATCCGTTGAAAGACGGGAGACGAGAGAGAGAGAGAGAGAGAGAGGGAGAGGAATCGAAAGCGGCTTGACGGAGACCGAGTCCGACGGTATCTCTTTTAACCTACCTTATCGCCTTAAATATTTTTTATTTTAAATTAATTAATAAAAGAACGGATTAATCTTAAAATTGAGAATTCCTCCGAACCCCGTGTTACTCCTCGGCCTGGCCGGAGGCCCCATACGTGGGACCCATCTAAAAACGAAGGTATAGTAATTCTCGTCGAACCGCAGTGCCCTCTACGGCTAGCAACGAGTCCGACGAAGGCAACAGTGGATCAAACCAAGATAATAGTAAAATAATCTTTTTATGCTTCTATAAAAACTTTTACAAGTGAGACACTATTAGAAGTTCTCAAACTTAGGGATTTTTCCCAAAAATTTACCCTTCATAAAATATATTTATTTTAAAAAAATTAGAATATGTGGGAATAAAAGAAACTAAGCATGAGATTGATGATGGGAAGAGTGGTAGAAATTTTTTTGAGATTTAAAAGAATGGAATGAAGAAAAAGATAATACTAATTAATCAAAATAAAAAAAAATCAATTTTTTAATTATAAATGGATTGAGATTATGGGTTACATTATTAAAATTTGGGAAAAAGTGATTTTAAACGTAACGAGATGTTACATAATTATTTTTAATAATTAATTTAATTTTATGCATGAAAGATGAATAACATAAGTTATTTATTTACTAAGATAAAAAACTTATAAAGAGGTTTGCATTCCTTTTGTTGATTTTTTTTAGAAAAAGCTGATGATAGGGCTCCTAGAGTTTCGAAATTAAAAATATATATTCATTAATTATATTTGATGTTATGAAAAATATGTAAGATAGTGTAATGACTATGAAAGTTTGGTGCAGAATTATTTAAGATTTAATAAGATGTGAAGCAATAATTTCTATAAACTAATTTAATTTTACACATGAAAGATGGATAATATAAGCTATTTAGTTATTAATATAATTAATGAAAATAAGCATAAAAATATAAAACTATAAGGATTTACATATGATTTTTGTTGATCTTTTTAAAAAATAAAAAAATGTTCAATAGATTTGTTAAGGTGAATTTTTAAAAATAACATATTCACTAATTATATTAATCTTATAAAAATATTGATCTTCAGTTAACAACTCATTAATTTCTCTTTCCACAAGCACCCGAAATTGAAACGAATGATCTATTTACTTTATCTCTCTGACTCGCGTATCTTATAAGAATGTTAGAAAGTAAAAACTCTCAATGCACCGATATATCCACGATTACACTGATTGACTTTGGTATCTTGTCTGAGTCTTCAGAATTCATATCTCATATCTTTGACTTACGTCTTAACCAAAAAATTCAACAACAACAAGGGATTCCACTTTTATTGTTGATTCCACCTAAGAACTTTGGCTGAAAGTCATCCTATCTATTACTACCATGAATATAAACTAATCTGCGTCTATCTATTAATTTGTACTACATCTTTTAGTTATATTAGTGGTCTAGTTTGAGGCTACGATCTCTTCGGAGACAACCGATAAAATTGGAACGATACATAGAGAGGCTACCCAATATCATCTTTTCTTACACCGAGGATAACAAAGAAAAAGAATAATGAATTGAAACTGGAACTGCTGATTCTACTTATCTGGCTTCTTATACTAGTTCAGCTCTCTTATTCTCTACTATAGTTAGTGTTGCGGGAAACAACTATATGCCGTGGCCTCGGGGTCGACGTGGCTTGGTTCGGGTCCGAATGCGCGGGGATCCGACGTGACGCTCCTCGGGGCAGCGGGGGTGGTCGATCATAACGGTCCGAATAGGATGCAACGTGGGGGTGAAGCCTCGCCGCGGCTTTTGGAAGGTGCGACCTCGCCTTTGTTCCTGCACACAGGTCGGGTCGGAAGCTCGGCCCGACCCCTCCGACGATCAAGTCAAATGATGTGGAAGGGAGTTTTTGGAGGAAGGGATGCCTCCATACAAGTGTTCTCTCTTTCTTTCGTTTAGGACTCGGAGGTATTTATAAGGTAGTTTGTGTTACCTAATGTGCCTGCCTGCGGGAGGCATGATCATACCTTTGATGGCGTCCGATACTGTTATTGACGTTGTGTGGAGAACTGAGCTGTCGTAGGGTATGGGCGAAGGTCGGTTGTCGTCCTCCCTTGTCGTGGTCAAGCGTGCGGGGTCGGAAGTCGTTGCCTGATAGCGGATGACATCGGCGTATGTCGAGTCAGTGTTATTGCCTTCCTCATTGGGCAGAGTGGCGCCCAGGTGGGGCCGACGTCGTGACACGTCATGTCGCCATTATTACCCCTATCAGTGTGATTCTCTACTATAGTTAGATTTTTTATTCCTGTTTGAAAAGTGCTTCTCCTATCTTGTCTCGATCATATACTCTTATCAAAGAAGTGTGATTTAGCTCCATCGTTCCTTACGCAACCAATCCTGGTTAGGGCTATAGCAGGCGGGGATGGATGTTTATATAGTAGCTTTGATAGGAGCTCGGGAAGAGATGGTTACACTATCTCTTGAAAGCCAACTTCTAGCGCAAAAGCTCACCGGGAGTACCCAAGCTCTCCCATGAAGTCGGGTTACAATTTTATTTTTAATTTATTATCCTGAGATAAAAAAAGGAATCGATGTG